GCAGGAATGAGCTACTGCTGCTGCTGAGGGTTGCCAACGGGCCTGGAGAAAAATGTCCTCTCCAATTAGCAGAGGTTTAATGTGTGGAAATGGGCAGCTGAAGCTTGTCATAGCATGGAAGCAAACAACATCACTTGGCAAACATCTTCCTATTATGTGTGTCATGTGCCATCAAGTCTGCTTCTGACTTATGGTGACCCGATGAATAAATGACCTCCCAAACGTCCTACCATGAACAGCCTTCCTCAGGTCTTGCAAACGGAGGGCCATGGCGTCCTTGACTGAGTCAACGCATCTCATGTTGGGTCTTCCTCTTTTCCTACTGTCTCCACAGAGACCTGTTGCCAACCCTACAGGGTGTATGTAGCCTGCTCTCTTTTTCCTGGACTGCCAAAAGGGAAAGAAGGCCACTATCCTACCTGTAGCTTTGGACTGGGGTTGCTATTTAGTCAAACTGCAGAGGAATGCGTCATTTCATGGTGGTTAATTAAGGATCATTTCCACCCAATCCCATGCAACACTCAGAGTGTCTCTTGTTCATATCCTGATGGAAGTTCTTCTTGGTAATCTGTGAGACTTTGCTATCATACTACGGGGCACCAGGTCTAGACATAAACTGACCTGAGAGACCAGGCGCTGGTTCTCACTCAGCCAGGTCTCACGCATGGCTGCCTTCCGGTCAAATCGTGCCGCCAGCTGTTCCAGCTTCTCCTGCCGAATCAGTTCGTTGCGCAAGGCCAGCTCTCGCTCATGTTCGGCTTTCTCCAGACGCTCCCAGGCCTGTGGATATGAGGGAATCAACCATTTCCATCTGAAAAATCAGTGCTTGAAGTTCTAAAAGGAGAGGTCGGGGGGGGGGGAGGCAGGGTTTGAGCCTGCTTGGAATCCATATGTTAACGTATATATGGTAGCTTTCAACAGTGAAAGGGGTGGTGGAAACCACTCAGCACAAGCTCAGAGGCACTGCCTGTTTATCATTACATGGCTCAGCCTTGACTTTGGAAATGGATATTTGGGCTGACACTGGGTTAAACTGAACTGATCCCGGGAAGCAGCACAAATCAATCATTAATCATTGTTAGCTAACAGATTCTACTTGGAATTTGCAGGTATTAACTTGACTTGGATGCAACACTTAAGCACGAATTGCTTTTTTAAATTCAGTGTGTTTCTACCCTGCTTTGGCTTAAGATTAAAATCAAAGTGGCTATGTAAAATTACCAGAACTTCCCCTGTGTATGACCCCCCCCCCCAGCAATTTACTCATTTGACATCCCCGAAGATAGTGCCATTCTAGGCTACTACTTGCCTTGCTAGTGCAGATCGCCTTCAGATCTCCCCCAGCTCTGCAGAGGAAATGTTCCCATCCTCCATAGTCACAAACACATATAACACAGTAGCATTTATCCAACTTTAAGGCAGAGGAAGTCCCTATAGCCTAAGGAGCCTTCCGTCCAGCCTGTGGCTCTTCTGTTGGAGGAAGAGCCATTTATACTGGAGGCAGACTCCTTAAGGCTGGAGGAAGACCTCCTACTTTACTCAGTGGAGTGTTGGGACATATGCTGTTATCTCACCTTGTTGATGTCAGAAATTAGCCTTCCCTCTCGGGGCATATAAACCTTCTGGTTGTTGGCTCTCATCTTACTCTGGATAGTGAAAAGCAAAACTTCCAGATTCCCCTTCTCTGTGAACCTGGAAGTTGGTGGGTGGCAATGTGGGTATGAGAGATAGGATAAAGGTCAGTCAGTCAAGAATTTCTAGACATGAGCCCCGTTGTCATTCCCCGCCCACATCATGGAATCCCTGACTCCTAACATTCTAGACCAGGGGTGTCAAACAAGTGGCCCGGGGGCCAGATCAGGCCCCCGGAGGGCTTCTATCAGGCTCGCAGTGGAACTGGCTGTCTTCTGCTTCTTCTTCCAGTTCTGCTGCTGCTGCATCATAGGTTTGCTGCTTCCAGGTACACAACTGAACAGTATACTCAAGATTGCAACACCACAGACATTTTGATGCAATAATTCAGAGCAAGAGGTATCAGTTATCAGACACTGTTAAATAAACAAAATATTGCAAGAGTGCTAATGTTTTAAACATGTTTTTATTTTAAGTAAAAAAACCTTTGCGTTTGTGTCCTTTATAAAGTTTATATCTCCGCTCCCTGGCATAACATTTTATGACACACATGGCCCAGCCCAACAAGGTTCCATTTATGTCAGATATGGCCCTCATAACAAATGAGTTCGACACCCCTGTTCTAGACAGCAGACTGCCCTTAAACTGTGGTCAGGAAAGACAGACTTACTTGGGAGGCTTCTCAACGGTACGGTAGGTGTTAAAGGCCTGCAATTGATTCTGCACTCCGCTCAAGCAATTGGCCAGCTTTCTGTCATTCAGTGTCAGGATGGTCTGCTCAATCCACTGCAGAAGGTCGGAGGCCAGCGTCTCATACTTCTCTATCAGCTTGTCCGCCTCAATGGCATAGTCTAGCACCTGGAGCAGAAGCCTATGTCATTCAGAACATTTGGGATCCTGGGCAAGGAGCTGCTGGCTGAGATGTTTCTGGACACACACACACACACACACAGACAAAAGCCCTTTCCCCTTACATCCGAGTAGCTCTGAACTGCCCAGCTCTGGATAGCACAGTGGGGTTTGAGACAGCAACAGCAAGAAAGAAAATACAAGACAGAAGGCCCAAAGAAGTTGCTGTGGCTGGAGATACCTTAAAATTTGTTGATCTGGGAGAGCCAATGGGGGGAAAGGTGGAGAAGACAAAGCAAGGCATATTGTGCTAGAGCCCATGCCACCGATCTAGGCCCTGAATATTCATTTTGCCTGAAGAAAAGCTTAATGGACCTATAATCATTTGCACACTTTTAAATCACCAGTCATTCCAGTAATACACATCATCTCTCCAACCACCTGCCTCTCTTCCTGTCACCACAACTTGCCCAAGAATTTTTGAATCTAGAGACTTTGTGTCTCTCTCACTCAGCCCTACTGACTCCCCCCCCCATCCCCTGGTTCTGCTGCAAACTTCAGGATACCTTCCCAATCCGCTTCCCTTCCACGGCAAGGGCTTTCATCTTGGAGAAGTAGTGGTAGTAGGTAGCCACGTAAGTAATGATGGACTTCTCATCTGGCTGGTCCACATTTACATCTAGGAAGGAGCATGAGATTATGAGCATCCAAGAACAAAAAGAAGTACTTCGGCCCCGGTCACACTGGAGGATTTGCCCCGCAGGAGGGACGGATCGGGGCACATCAAGCGGGCGCGATCATACCGCAACATCTGGGAAGCGGCGCGCACCCATCCCCGATCTGTCCCTTCCAGCCGAAAACCCGCCGCAAAAAGGTAGCACCAAAAGAGTACTACCTACCTGTTGATGCGCAGCACGGGCTGGCGTCTGATCGCCGACGCGCCCGTCTCCCTGCAGCATACGGAGGCCCTGTAGAACTGTACATGCACACGCATGTGCATCAGGCTCGCCTCGCTCACCCATCTGTGGCTTCCCCCGGCATTTGATTATGCCAGGGAGCAACTGCGCGGTGGCTTGGGGGATCTGTCTGATCCCACCGCCACGCTTTTCTTTTGATGCGGCTCAAAAAAGCTGCACTTCAGCCGCACCTTTTCCCCCAGTGTGACCGGGGCCTTCATCACTCAACAAAGTAATTCAGCTGCGGAATTCTCTGCCAGTGGATGTAGTGATGGCAGCAAGCACAGATGGCTTTAAAAGGGAATTACACATTGTCACAGAGGATTGGTCCATCAATGGCTACTAGTCATGATGTCCAAGGAGAACCTTCACACCCAGAGGCAGTAAAGCTACAAATTGCAGTGCTAGGAGCAATGCTCCCTCTAAGCTGTGGAGTCTTGTGAGCAAAAATTCTACGTTGTGAGCTACTGGCATTAAAGTTGTGAGTGAGCGATTTGGCTGCTGCATAAATGAGTTTGTTCTGGAGCCATCCTTTCTGCGTGAACACTCTAAGCAGGTAACATCAGGGAAGGCCTCAGCATCTATAGCTTCCTCATTGGGCTTTTGGGGCAACTGGTCGCTATAGTGTGAAATGGGATGCTGAACTAGATTTATTTAAATTCGAGTCTAGTAGCACCTTAGAGACCAACAAGCCTTTCAGGGTATACACTTTCGATTGTCAAAGCTTCCTTCGTCTGATGACCAGCCTCTGAAACTAGACTTATCTACTTCATTTATCATCTGCCTTTCTCACTGAGACTCAATGCAAATCATAGAATTAGTTTTTCAATGTAATGAATATATTCAATAAATGATGTGATAAAACTGGATTACACCATTAGGCAATAAACAGTGCAATAAAATGAATCACTGATCTGTTCCAGCGTGACATTTATGTTATTATGTTCTCCTGAAAGGAGAAAGGTCTCTAAAACAAATGGTTGGAAAGTTACTCCTACTTTTTTAGATGGGCATCTGACTTCCACACAAGCCTCAAGGCCCGTATTGAGTCTGGATGGGACAAAGATTTAAAGACTTGCTCTGCACAGGTCATGCTGACCACTCTCTTGGCCTAACAATCACCACAGGATGGTTGTTGCAGTTGCCTTCTATTCACTTGGAAAAGGACTCTGACTTACACTGTTTGGCTCCCCTCATCTTTTATGCAAGGAAAAGGAGGCTGTTCTTCCTGATGTCATGGAATTTAATGTAAATCATGCATGGCATGTAGAATTTACATATATATATATATATTTATAGGCTTTGCTTCATTAGTTAGCATATGTTCGCCTTAATGAGAAATGGCTCATTGAATCTGCTTATGATTCCTGTAACAACTCCAAACAGGAATTTTTCATTCCCATTGTTCTAATGCACTCTTCATGTTCTTGAGAGGTTTCTACAGCAAGCTTGAAGCAGCCCGAATAGTTTCTCATGAACAGCTTTTGTCTGCCAGCATAAATCCCAGGAAACAGAACGCTAACGCTGCAAGTAGCGATCAGTACATTTTCTTCATAGTTTCACCTAAAGAATCACTAGTATGCTCAGAGGTAAATCATGAAATAGACAATTTAGATGGAAACATGGTTTTCACACATACACACACACTCCATATAAGCTCTCCGTGTCTTCCGACATATGAACTTCTCGGATCTGGATTTAGTGACGGTATCTCTCTCTCTCTTTTTTTTTTTTTGCATATTCCTGAGTAAGGAATTTACACTTTGAATTCATTCTTAGATTTAAATTAGACAGATGTGGAATATCATGTATGCTCATTTATCCAGGATTGCTTTAACATATGCCAGTGTGATCTGTGCTTCTCTAATATTCCTGGTTTTTATTCTCTCAAATTTAGTTAGAGTATTTAAAAATATGTTGTCGAAGGCTTTCACGGCCAGAGTTCATTAGTTGCTGTAGATTTCCCAGGTTGTGTGGCCGTGGTCTTGGCGTTGTACAATGCCAAGACCACGGCCACACAACTCGGGAAATCTACAGCAACTAATATTTAAAAATAATCTAACTAGAATTAAAAATCTAACTAGAACTAAAAATAATCTAACTAAAAATTATTTTGAAATATTTTTTAGCTAGAACATTAAGTGCTTACTTGCTGGGAAACAAGGTCTTCACACTGGACCAGAAACAAGTAAACAGACTTCTGATTTTCCCTTTTCATCAGAAGCCAGAGCCCTATAAGTGGCGAGAGCCAGAGGGGGAGCTCTCAGTACTATAACTTAGTGGTTTGTGTACTGCTAAAATTCAATCAAGGAGACCTCTTAAGATGCCATGCAGTTATTATTTTGGTAATACCCCTGTAACAAGTGGCCGCTTAAACCTGCACAGCCGAACCCACCTTCAGGATCCAAGAGCTTGGTCAGACCCAGCTCCTTCTCGGCAATGTTGAAGGCATTCTGGAGGTTATAGTGAGCGTTGCATTTCTTCAGTGTGTCAATGTCTATTAGGTCTGGCCTGTAGGAGGCAGCAAGTTTTTTTTTTTAAAAAAAGATATTAAGAATTGCCCTTCTGGATCAAACCAAAGGGCCACCTAGCCAAGCAGTCTATCCCTGATAGTGGCCCACCAGAGCAGCCTGGAAGCTCACAAACAGAGCACCATCCTTGTTTGTTCCCAGGATCTGTTAATACACAGTGGTATTCTGCCTTTGCACATGGAGGCACTATTTGCAGCTATCACAACCCAGAGCCAATGATGCACTAAGGTACCAGGAATCTATCCAATCCTTTTCACAAGATACTAACGCTCATCACAGCTTTCTGCAGAAACAAACTCCATAGGTCAGTTGTGCACTATGGCATGAAATGCCTTCTTTGGTCTGTCCTGTGGTTTGCTGCCACCAATCAACTTTACTGGATGACCTGTCATGCTTACATCCCTTCCAAAGAGAGAAAATGTGCTGGAAAGTGCCATCAAGTCACAGCCTATTTATGGCGACCCCTGTAGGGTTTTCAGGGCAAGAGACATTCAGGGATGGCTTGTCATTGCCTGCCTCTTCCTAGCAACTCTGGGCTTCTCTGGATGTCTCCCATCCAAGTACCAACCAGGGCAAACCCTGCTTAGCTTCTGAGATCTGATGAGACTGGGCTAGCCTGGGCCATCCAGGTCAGAGATCTGCAACATCACTTATTTTATTTATTTCTTGATCCTGTACCCCGCCCTCCCCGCCAAAGCAGGCTCAGGGCAGCTAACACCATAAAACATGTTGACAATAAATATCACAACCATTTAAAAACAGTTCATAAAACAATTCCATAACATTTCATTACAACAGTTTACAATTAAAGTGCTAGCAATTAAGTTATGGTATCAAGATGGCCTCATAGAGTTGATAGATTCACGTGATAACCAGCTCGATGATCTTTCTCGGTTTTGGTCGGCGAGCGCAGGCTAGTACTAGTGGACCAGGCACCAGGCTTCTGTTGTTGTTAACGATGGTAGTGGTGGTGGCAACTCCTAGTTAAAGGCCTGGTGGAAAAGCTCCGTCTTGCAGGCCCTGCAGAACTGTAAAAGGTCCCGCTGGGCCCTGATCTCTTCCGGGAACTCATTCCACCAGTATGGAGCCACCACCTAAAAGGCTCTCGCTCTGGTCGTAGCTAGCCTGGCATCTTTGGGACCTGGAAGGGCCAATCAATTTTGCGACTCCGACCGAAGTGCTCTCTGGGATGTACATGGGGAAAGGTGGTCCCTCAGGTATGTCGGACCCTGGCAATAAAGGGCTTTAAAGGTAAGAACCAGCACCTTGAAGCAAATCCAGTATGTTATTGGCAGTCAGTTCAATGCCTTCAGGGCAGGCTGGATGTGTTCCCTCATGGGGAGACCATCAGAAGAAGAGAAGAAGAAGAGATTGGATTTATACCCCGCCCTTCACTACCCAAAGGAGTCTCAGAGTGGCTTATCAACAGACACCCTGTGAGGTAGGTGGGGCTGAGAGAACTGCTCTTTCAAGGACAGCTCTGACAAAACTATGGCTTGCCCAAGGTCATCCAGCAGGTGCAAGTGGGGAATCAAACCCAGTTCTCCCAGATTAGAGTCCGCACACTTAATCACTACATCAGGAGCCTAGCCACAGCATTTTGCACTAGCTGCAGCTTCCAGATTTCTGACAAGGGCAGCCCTAAGTAGAGAGCATTACACTAGTCTAGTCTCGAGGTGCCCATTGCATGGATCACTGTTGCTAGGTCGTTGCATTCAAGGAAGGGAACCAACTGACTAATCAGCTGAAGATGGTAAAAGGCCGACTTGGGAGTGGCTGCTACCTGGGCCTCCATTGTTAAGGAGGAATCCAGGAGCACTCCCAGGCTCCTAACCTCCGGCGCTGGCACCAATGGCGCCCCATCGAAGGTCGGGAGTGGGATCCCTACCTCCAGACCACCTCGACTCAAGCACAGGACCTCCGTCTTCATCGGATTCAATTTCAACCGGCTGAGTCTAAGCCAATCAGCCACGGCCTGTAGCGCTTGGTCCAGATCTTCTGGGTTGGAGTCAGACCGGCTGCCCAACATCAGATAGAGTTGAGTGTCATCCGCATACTGGTGACATCTCAGCCCAAACCACCTGGGCAAGGGGGCGTATGTAGATGTTAAATAACATTGGGGACAGCACCGCCCCTTGAGGCACTCCACATTCTAGTGGGTACCCCTGGGAGAGCTGATCCCCTAATGCCACCCTTTGTCCCCGACCATGGGGAAAGGAGACAAGCCATTGCAGGGCAAGCCCCTGTACTCCTATGTCGGCAAGGCGGTGGACCAGTAACTGATGGTCGACTGTGTTGAATGCCACCGACAGGTCCAACAACAACAGTACCGCCGCCCCAGCCCGATCCAGGTGCCTCCGAAGATCATCTGTGAGGGCGACCAGTGCTGTCTCGGTCCCATGTCCTGGGCGAAAACCGGACTGGAAGGGATCTAAAATTTATTTAGTATCAAAGCAGTGCTGAGTGCTGACCCCTCCCCAGAAGAGCTGACATGAGAAAGACAAGGCAGAGACGTGCTTGTGTCCCAGGGACAAAGGGGAGGTAAAACGCTTGCATGGAGACAAAGTGAGGAGCAAGCTAAAAATGGCAGGGAGCAGCTAGAGGCGTCAAAAGGAGGGCATCTGCCCAAGCCTCTCTTGCTGTTCATATTGGGCATGAAAGGGTTAAAGAACCCTTTGCCAGTCCTGTAGCCCTTTCACCTGGGTGTTCCCATCGTCTGAAGCCCACTCCCCTCAACAAGTTGTTACCATCTCTTTACTTGACCGCCCCCCCCCGACTGACCTGTGTTTGTGGACGATGGCGTTGAAAGCCAGGCCGTCCCTCCAGCTGGTGGTGAAGTTGTGGACATTCACATTGGGGTACCTGTAATATGGGATCAGAAGAGAGGCCCTCTCCTTATCTATTTTACACATTTCAGATTTTTTTAACCTGCCACGTCACAAGGGCTCGTTCAGGCAACAACCATTAAAAAAGAAAATTAACCCCAGCAAAATCAATACTAACCCATATTTTATACATAGAGATGTTAACCCACAAAAAGGGCTTAGCGGCAGTCTCTTTGCAAAAGTCAGCCCAAACACTAAGGTTCTAAGGAAGCTGCCTTACACAAATTCGTACCCTCGGTCCATCGAGGTCAGTATTGTCAGCTCAGGCGGGCAGAGGCTCTCTAGGGTCTCAGGCAGAGAAAGATCATCTCCTGCATGGATCTTTTAACTGAAGGTTCCAGAGATTGAACTTGGGACCTTCTGCATGTAAGGCAGATGCTCTGCCACTGAGCCACAGCCCCTCCCTGAAAATGCCCAGCATGATTGGCCTGAGCCTCTGAGCACATGTGGAGTGTCACTCTTAGCTTCCTTTTCTCTCTTTCTTTACAGTTTCTAGCAGTGTGAAGAGCAGGACAAAAAGAACCCCAGTGAGGGCTCCAATTCCTGCCCTTTAACCCACAAGGTTGCGTTCCTCCAGGTGTTCTCTTACCCAGCTGTTTTCATCTGACACCAAAGCAGCAAGGCATCCTTGGCCGATTTCTTCTCTTTGTTGTCCTCTGTTTCCACGCTAATGTCCTGGATCTGTGGGGGAGGAGAGTACAGCTAAGCGTGGGCAGGACAGCAAGTCCTCCAAAACAGTCCGCTAGAATCCCACAAGTAGCTCAGATTTTCTCGGGGGTGAGTTTCAATGGTGTTCTTTTGTATTTTCTTATGTTTTTAATTTCTGGAATTGTAAACCACCTTGGTTCACAACAGAATGGAGGGTGCAAGTATTTTAATAAACGAATGAATAAATTCTGTGCTGATAAGAGCTGAACACGAAGGCCTGTCTAACTCATGCTCCTTTGCATCACCTCTCGTTTTGCATAATTTGTTCTGGCCTTGCTAGTCGAGGGACAGGCAACAACACAATGGTTATAATTCCAGATGGGTAGCTGAAGTAGTTTGCGGCAGTAACATAAAAGAGGAATCCAGATAAAAGATAACAAAATTTATTCTAGCATAAACTTCTGTGAATCATAAAACTCCACTGCAACTGATGAAATAAGCTCTGATTCACCAAAAGGTTATGCTGGAATAAATTTTGTTAAGTATTTAAGGTACGACTGTCTTATTTTAACACCACAGGTCTTATTCATCCATTTTTAAGGCACATCTTTGCAGGAAGAAAGTCCGGATACTTGCTCTTTTTTCTTTTTTTAAATGAAAGATGACTCTGAAGAATCTGAATTCTACATGTGCTCTCACAATCTGTGCTGCTTCTGTGCACACACACAGAGACCTGAGCGTGGGCTACAGGCCATCTGGATTTGTTTGCGAAAGACAAGAAAGGAAGGAGGAGAGGGAAGCAGGGCATCATTGTACCTGGAAACGGAGAATGATGGTCCAGATGAGGCCCAGCGTGAGGCGGTGGTTGCCATCGACGATGTCGTGGGAGCCCATGTTCTCCAGGTGGACGCGCTGCTCCTTCAAAAACTGCAGGGCCTTATCCACGTTCTCCAGGCAGTGTATGCGCATCCGGCCTTTGGTTGGTTTGGGCTAGTGAAAGAGAAGAGTCAGGACTTAATCTTGACCAGGGTTCAACCTCAGAACTCTAACCTGAACTGCCTGAAATGCTCCTGAGTACATATACAGAATGCATTTCCCAGGGCACCTCGTACATAAAATCATTCAGTCAGAGTGGGAACCCCAGCACTCGTCTTTTATAGAAATTAATCACATCAGACCTCAGAAGCTAAGCAGGGTAAGCCCTGGTTAGTACTTGGATGGGAGACCAACAAGAAGTCAGGCAATGGCAAACCACCTCTCTTCGTCTCATGCCTTGAAAACTCTACAGGGTTGCCAAAGTTGGCTGCAACTTGCACTTTACAGGGGTCATTTAGTAGAAAAAGAGGTGCAGGAGCACATTATCATAACTTATTAGCATAACTTATTTGCATATGCCACGCCCCCTGACATTACCGGAAGTGTATCAGAAGCCAACCCCCCCCACCCAGGCTCCACTGGAGTGTTTTGGATTGCTAGCTATTGGGGGGGGGGGGAGACATGCAAATCTGTCCTCACAAAGGAGGGAGAGCTTGTACCTGAATAAAACTTGGTCTTAAAGGTGCCACTGGACTGTTTTGGATTGCTAGCTATTGGGGGGGGGATGCGCAGATCTGCACTCACAGAGGAGGGAGAGCTTGTACCTGAAGGCAGGCCAGGGGGCTCTGCAACTTACCAGGCTGCTTCTTGCTCCTCATGGCCCAACTGAGGGCTGCTGGGAGCAGGGGGCGGGGCTTGTTACATGTGCCCACCCTCTGGGCTCCTTACTGCCAGAGCTCCGCTCCTGTGCGCTCCCTCAGGAAATGACCCCTGGCACTTTACACCATCAATGATTTTGGTAGCATCTTTGGTAGTAGTGTTCTCAAACTGCCTCTTAATAGGTGCCATTAAGACGACCCTTGTTCCTACATGACACGTGGGGAGACTTAGGTTGAGAGAAAAATCATTTGCTGATCCAGTGAGTCACTGGCAAAGTCTCACAGGCAAGACTCTCTACATTATGGACCACACCTTCTCTGCCTACAAATGGCTTGCCTCTCCTTTTCTCCTTTGTTCCCTGTTCTTGGGCAGGTACTTCCAACACCTCCCCTTTTACACACTCTCTCTCTCACACACACACACACACACACTGAGTCCTATCTTTCTGGATACACTTGGCATGCTGAGGATTATTAACATGCATGCCAGACCCATGCCAGCCAAGAAGTTGGTCAGACTTGTAACGGAACTCCCTTCCTACAGCATATTCCCAGACAGACAGCCGGAAGGGCTTGTCTGCATGTCATTGAGGTTAAAAAAACCTGGAGGGAGGGGAGGGGCAGTTAAGGCACAGAGGGCTCTGCCCTTGAGAAGAATTTCTACTCTACCTGCAAACAACACATCCCATGGCTGGAAGGGTGGAGTCATCCCAGGAGGGGATCTAGTGAGGCAACTGGAGAGAAAAAAACGGCAGCCTAGGCCTTGAAGCTGACAACTCTGGGGCCAGAATGGGGAGTCGGGAGCTGGGAAAAGGTGTGTAGGCTGGGAGACTGAGGGGACGGCATGAGGAATGATCCGTCACCCTTGCAACATCTCAGCTTGCACAAAGACATCTGGGCAAGGAACTGGGAACTGCATGTCTCAGGTGGCACATACATTTTCTAGATAAATACATTTCCTAAATAGCAGCTCTGCACTCTGGATGCAAAGCCCAGTGATCTAAGGCACTGGTCAGCAGCCAAGCAGCCAGCAGCTAGATCCTGCACCTTCAAACAAGAGGCAAGTTGGCCCAGCTAGGGTTGAAGAAGAGAAGGTTTTTATACCCTGCTTTTCCCTACTGTAAATAGTCTCTAAGTGGCTTACAACCACCTTCCCGTCCTCTCCCCACAGCAGTGAGGCAGGTGCGGCTGAGAGAGTTCTGAGAGAGCTGTGACTGGCCCAAGGTCACCCAACAGGCTTCACGTGGAGGAGTAGGGAATCAAACCCAGTTCTCCATATTAGAAACCGCCACTCTTAACCACTACACCACACTAGCTTTCATTGGTTGCCAACTGTGCATTGGGAAAGAAGTCTTGGAGATTTTGGGAGTGGAGTTTGGGGAAGTGTTAAATCCAGCGCTTAACAAATAGTCGGAGAGTGATTTCAGCAAAACTCAAGTTTAATCTTCAACACAAACACTTCTCCAACACGGTACAACATCTGATAGCCTGAACAGCTTGTCCATAGTAGCTGCTCGGTATTTAAACATTTCCCGGCTAATGTAGCCACACCTACTATACAGATAACAACCAATGCGGTTGAGCGTATAAGGACCAATCACTTTCGTTCCCGCTTACAGCTTGCTTGAACGTGATTGGACACATTTGTCTTGGGCTTGAATCCCTGCCCAAGACGAAGCTTAACATTGCTTCCTAATGAGATGTTTTACATTACATCTAATGCATTCATGGCAGCTTCTGAATACATTACAGGAAGGCAGGGTCTGAGGAGGAAAGGGACCTCACTGGGGCATCATGCCATAAAATTCTCCCCTCTGAAGCAGCCATTTTGTCCAGGGGAAGTGTTCTCTGTCTTCTGGAGATCAGCTGTAATTCCAGGACATCTCCAGGTCCCACCTGGAGGCTGGCAACCCTATGGTCCACCTGCCCACTATTCTGCTCTCCTTTGGAACAACAGTCTCCCATTTGCTGAACAATTCTGCCGTCGCAAGTCTGGAAATGCTTGAAGATTATTAGTTGGTGAATGTAGTCGTTTAAAAGGCTTGGGTGCCACCATTCAGGTTCGCAGGACAGGTAGTAACAATAATATAAAACAAGCCTCTGTGAAACAGACCATCGTTCCCACACACACACGCACTGTTGTGCCAAAGATGACAGCCATGTCACACCAAGGCTCGCAACTCCCCAAAGAGAGTCAGGACGGTGACACAGAGGCTGCACCAGAGCTGAGATTAGACCCAGCAAT